TGGGCAATGATGTCATGATGCACGGGACATCGTCTTCACACTAAGCACCCCGGAGTGTAAGGCGCGTCCAGCGTGCCAGATATTGAATTTGGGGCCTGAGCTATACCAACGCTCCACATTTTGCGCCGAGCAGTTAAAATCTTGCATGGATACAGATGGTTTGGCAGCTGGCACAGGATATTGTTTGAGAAAGTCAGACGGTGTGAAAAGATGAGTCACATTTGTGTCCTTACAAGGAGTTTAAGGCAGCACGCATAGGGTTTTGTGGGGGGTTGTGAAGCTGCACAACAACCTTGTGAGGTAGGATAGGTTATACCAGGAAAAGCCTCAAAGACAGAAAATGTCACAATGCAGCAAAACATCTGAGTTAAGCCCAGCAAATACCGGTGAGGGCGCACAAGCTCTCCCAGCAGGACCTGTGGGCTTAAGTGCATTCCGATATATTATTTATTTATTAAAAAGCTCTAGCATCAATAAGCTCTAACGTATTCTTAGATCTGGAGTTCTCCAGCGGATACTCTGTCCAAATTCACACCAGCCTTGGTTGAGACAGGATTAAATCGTTATGATTCAGTGGGCCACGGAGGCCCAGTCCTTCACCAGGAGACGTGAATCAGACAGGCCACAACTTTTTTGCTTAGCCATAACATATTATGCGAAGCCAGACATTCCATTTTGCTCACTCGGGTCTAGCAAATTGCCTGACCCCCAGGTTTGGGAGCAGAAAGCAATTGAAGAGGCTGGAAGGAATTTCCAAGAACATTTTGACTGTCCAGACAGGCCTTCCAGGGAGCCATTTCCGTGCCTGCTCTGCCCCCGTGTGGCTGCGGCCAGCACTGCGCCCAAGGATGCCCCCAAATGAACCTGAAGTCCAACATCGCTCAGAGTTTTGCCAAATTCTCCAGAATTTCAGCCTGAACAACCTTGTCTTCCTGCGATAGCTCAAGCTACCTTTCACACGCTGCTTTTTGTCCGGTGAAATAAATGCATTACGTAGAGAAAGACCATCTCTTGTGGCTGGTTACACTAAGGCAGTGTTGTCCAAACTTGGCCACTTTAAGATGAGTGGACTTCAACTCCCAG